CCCTAGACCAAGTTTCAGCCAAATCCATAATTCTGACCCCTTACCATATACCCACCGTAACCCCATGACCCTACCGTACAAAGTCAATGTGATATTCGGCATCAGCGGGCCGAATAACCCCCTAGGTGAAGTTTCAGCGAAATCCACGACAAAAAGTTATTGGGGCCCCGATACTGGAATATCGCCCATTTTATTCCTTGTTCAATCTAGTTTATTCTTGCTTTTCTTTACCAAGATAAAGTTTAATTAACCAAGTTTGAGGTGTTGTTGGTGTGCTCGTGTTCCGCTCAAGACCCATGCGGCAATTGGTCGTGATCAGTGGCATTCGAAGTTTTATGGTTCTAACAATAAGTATATCTGAGCCACTAACCAATATAAGTAGCCAATCAAAACACGTGTATTTCGAACTTACCACGAGTCAGTCAAAATCGGCGGCGATTTCTTCCTCTGTTCGAAAAGGAGATGGCCACTCTTTACCTGACAGCACTGGGATCAACCGCACAATACAACCACTTCTGTCATTTTTTTATCTTCCTTACAGTTGAAAAAAATTCACCAATCAACCATTTGCATCTAAAATCAAGAGTAGGTTCCACCTACCTCTGGCAAAAGCCACAAAAGTGGGATGTATATCACGAACACTGAAATATATTTATTCTAATCGTGCAAGGTGGCTAGAAACAGCCGGATGGTATATTTCGAGGTAGGGAAGATAGGTAAAGAATATTGAATTCAACAACAAAAACAACAACAATAACTTTGATGCGGAGGTAAAATATTATACATCGTTAAACATCCAGCTGAACTTTCTCCTAAATTCGCGAAGTATTCGCAAACACTCTTCTGGCGTCTTGTAAACACCAATCTTAGATCTACAGTCATGAGCCGGACGCTGAAGCTCTTCAGACAAATCTGATCTTTCCTCGTTTGAAATTAGGTCTGCACCCATTTCCAGCCGCGCTTCGCGAATCTGCAAAGATGGTGAATTGACGGTCAATTCAAATAAGAATTAAATTAACCTACTTGCTCAGGCGAGTAACCTATGGTTGTCAATTTCTCCTTCAGTCGGTTCACCTTGATTTGCAGAGCATTGACAACGAAGCCACGCGCTTGGCTTATGTGGCGCTCCAGCAGCATCAGAGCACGGACATGGTATCCAAGACGAAAGTTTGGGCCCACCTATAGTGATGCATCAATGTACAGACAAAACAGCTGTGCACTAACCTCAAGTCCCATTTTGATTCCAAATGCAAGCCAGTGCTCTGGTAGGTCGACAGTGGCACAAAGAAGACAGACAGCATTCACAAATTTACGATCAGCTTCCTCTCCCTCAATTCGGCTATAGACCTCTTTTGCTGCATTCAGATATTGTAGCTGATCACCGTAATCGAGAGCGGTCTGTTCATACTCATACAGATATTGCAACAACTCGTCTCGTGGGAATGATGGGACCTGAAAATGGTCTGCTTTATTTGCTTAAGCAAATGGCAGATTTTCATTAAAAAGCGCTGTCGAACATCTTTGATTAAATAAAGAATCAAACTAAAATTCTAGAATGTGAGGTGTAGCAAAGCAAATTAGTTGACCTAGTGATCTGAGGTGAAATGCAGTGTCCGGGCAAAAACTCGATTATGAGATTTTGTGCT